TATTTTTATTGATTTTAATTTTGTAAGAGAAAGGGAAAAGATTTTCAGCACAAGGCCTACGCGAGCGGTCGCACGTGTGCTTAAACCTTTTCAAAATATTTTATTTGATTTTTAACTTTTGTAAAAGAAAGGAAAGATTTTCAGCACAAGCCTACGGACGGTCGCACGGTGCTTAAACCTTTTCAAAATATTTTTTGTAATTTTTATGGAAATAAAAAAAACAAGTCTAACCATATAAATAAAAACAAAGCGCGTGGACTATCATAAAAGGGGTTACATGCACAATAAAAAACTAACTAATAAAAAGAAAACAAAAGCAAAAATAAAGCAAGAGAAAAGCCCAACATGAATAGGGGTACAGAAATAAAAAACCAGAGGTGTGGAGTGAAATTGAGGCTCTTTAATTTGGACCAAAACCCTTTTCTCCAACTTTGTATTTGGGTTGTAAGGACAAAATGGGGGTGCCATTGGGTATTTGCTTGTCTGCCCAAAGCCTCTTTTCGTTTTACCACATCAGAAATCCTAAGACATAAGTCTCTCTCCCAAACGAGCCAGCCAAAGGAGGGACGTGCCTCGCCTCCAACGCAACATGCGCCGCCGCCTCCATCGGAATCGACCACCGCGCACCACCTCTTCCATTTGGCGTGCGGCCAACCCCAAACGCCACCGGAAACGTTTCAACACGCAGCGCCACTGCCTTTCTCTCGTCTCTCTGTCCTGGAATATTTGGACGTGAGCCTGCTACCAGTTGCAATCAATATGTGCTTAGCAGAGTAAGACAGTTTGTGCCATCCAATTGTGTCACCTAACCTCATTTGGACCAACTATCTTTGCCTCGCCTTCAAATAATTTAACCCCCGCATTGGATAACAGCCTCTTGTAAATTCCATTTAATCTGTTTTTTCATCTGTCTTCTTTTGCAAGAGCTTCTTCAATTGAAGTCAACTTTCTCACTCAATTCCCAACCCTAATTCCTGGCATCTCGAGTTCACCTCCAAAAGATGCTCCATAGACCAAAATCTTTTGGGAACACAACCACGAATAACACACCGTTTTCCACCAAGCCTCCAATTGGTTTTGAGCTAAATGCATTAAACGGAAGATCCAATCCCCAACCTTAGCTCCGGTAATTCGTATAAAACTAGTTAGCCGACACACCCACCACTTCCAGTCCCAATAATAAACAAGTCAAAGTCAAATGGTCACTTGTTCTACACCATGGAACCGATTCAGCTCACGTCGTAAGCATCTTCCTGGCCATGCTATCGAAAAAGTTGTGAACTAACTCTGCGTCGTTTTGCAAATAGAGAGTAGTAACTAGGTTGTTAATAAGGAAGATAAGAAAGAAACCACTAAGAACAAGATATGAGAGAGTATATATAGTATGTATATTATATATTATACAAAGGAGAAACAAAGACAAAAAAAAATGTGTTGTGCAGGTGTCGGCAGGGTCATCCTCCACAGTCTATCCTTCCAAAGTACCAGAAGGACCTACTCCATTTCCACAATGCTGTGATGCTTCAGCCAAATCAAATGGGCTTCTTCTCAACGGTTAGCCTCTCATATCATCCCTTCCGTTCTTCCTTTTTTTCATTTCTCTACCTTAAATCACTCTAAAAAACCTCCTGGTTCTAGGGGATGTGGTGATGAAGGTGTCCCCTTGGCGGTGGTCCCCCCTTCTAGGTGCGGCTGAACGTAACCTCCTTATTGCCAATTCCAGGAACTTGCTTTTGTGCCCTCTGCTGCCAACGTGTCCAGCCAATCCTGCTGCCAGTGTGTCCAATGCTCCTTGACGTGGCATCAGCTGGAATGCTTTTGTGTGGCCGTGCTGAAGCTACCAATTGATGGATGCACCAGTATGGGATGTGGACCCTGATGCGTTTGCTGCTGTCCTCCCAAGCTGCTGGAAGCGTGTTGTTACTGGATCTGCTGTCCGTGTGCTTGCTGGACCGTGCATCCAAGTGTGGGCCGTGATGGGCGTGCTGAAGCTGTTGTCCGTGAGTGTGAGGGAGTAACCATTTTTTCCTTTTTTCCTTTTTTTTCTTTTTGCTTTCTTTTTTAAAAATACTTTATATGAAAATCAAATGAAATTACAAAAAACAAAATAAAAATAATAAAGATTCATAAAAAACATAAATAAAATAAGATTGCAATAAAAATAAAAAAAAGAAAAACCATATATTTAGTCATCGGACGAAATTGGGTGTTGACACCAAGATAGCAGCTGTTATGTTGAAAGTAAAGAGGATTGGTAGTGTTTTAGGTTATTATAGAGGAAGTGAGGTAGCGATTCTGAGAATTAGAGGTCAGGGGCTAGTGTGGTTTGTTGGGACAGTCTTAACAAGTGTATTGTGACTTGTTTGAGTCACCAAAGTGGTACAAATAAGTGTAAAGTGTTAGAATTGGGTTTGGAATCCTCAAGTGGTGATAATTGATGTTGAGGAGTAAAAGTTGAGTTGTAATTACCTTAAAATTGTATTATAAGGGTTTAGGAACATCTAGACAAGTTTAATTAGGTGTAAAACATGAATTAAGGGTGTTAGAAATTGGAGAAATGGCCTAGAAATGGTAAGGGCTGGTGTGAGTGCATGATTCTGCAGAATTTGCGTTCTGCAGATGATGCAGAGTCGCTATGCGAGTTGTCTCGCATAGCAGAGTCCCTGCAGAGGGTGTTCTCTGTTTGAGTCATTCGTTGTGCGAGCTGGTGCGTTGTGCGAATGATTGGAGGGTGATGCTCTATGTCTGGCGATTAACATAGCGAATTTGGTCACTATACGACTGGAGGTGACTTGAAGCCACTGCCAATTTAATTCGAAAGACAAATTGGGCGCAAAGCGAGAGTTTTAGGGGGTTGGTATTTGTCTAGGCTCTCGCATAGCGACTTGGGTGCATTATGCGAGAGGTTGAAAGTCTGATGCACGCTGTGAGTTAATTCGCATGGCGAATTAGGGGAATGCGTTGTGCGAGACCATCTTGTCTCGCCTTGCAAATAGTGAGCATTGTATGAAACGTTCAGGGTTTTATTCTCTATCTTCTCTTTTATATTGTTTCACATAGAGTTCAGTGTTGTATGGTTTGTGAAGTATGTGTTGGAGCATATTATATTGTATGATGGGATTCAAACATGTTGTATACTGTTAAAATGAAAGTGGTGTGATTCAAAGGTATGATTGGTGATTCAAAGTATGTGGTTTTAAAAGTATGGTTGATGGACGTAATTCCATGATCTTCAAGGAGAAGATTCATGGTGGTTCCCTTAATTGTTTAGAATGAAAGTAGGAGCTCAGTCTTGGGGGTCATCCTGAAACTCCAATGGTCTTTCTTCTCACGTAGAGAGGATAGGACCATGTGGTGAGGAGTGGCAAGAGGTCTTAGTCTTGGGGGCTTCCAGTACGCCTCAAGGCCCGGAACAGGCTAACCTCGTGAGTGTGGTAGGGTGGGGAACTCAAGTATCATAAGCCACCATTAGTACAAAACCCACCATAGCCCGACTATCATTCTAAGTCCGAACGAGTCAAGTTTAAAGTGTAACAAGTTGTGTTAAGTGATCCAGTATATATGAACTAAACTTGCATGTTGTGTGAGATTGTTATAACATGATTTTTGTATATCTAGCTCACCCTTCTGCTTGTGTTTGTCTTTTGTTTGTGTGTGTTTTCTGTTGCAATGATAATCCATTTGGATGTGAGTAGAGGTAGATGAGGTGCTTTGGAGCAGGCCTTGGAGGGAGATGACACCGCTGCTTAGCCTAGTTAAGATCCATAGGTTTCTGCTTATTTTGAAATATTTTATGGTGTTAAAGTTTTAAATTTAAAACCATTTTGAAATGAGTGTAACCTTATGACTTTATTTACAAGTCTTCTTCTAATTGTTCTATTATATTAAAATGTGGACTGCTAGATTATATAATTCTATATAATTTGAGATGTTACACATATTTGTTTTTAAATAGTATTGTAAATATTAGAGAATAATTTTATATAATTTGGGACGTTACTCATATTTGTTTTTAAATAGTATTGCAAATACTAGAGAATAAACATGAAGAATAAATAAAAAAAATGATTTTTTTGTTGTTGCATGATGTAAAATAAATATATAAAAAATCCCACAACATCTCTTTCTCACTTTACTAAGTCACTTGTAACTCATTATTTTTATTTCATTTATTTTTCAGCAACATATTTTACCATAATATAAAGAAACATAGAATAGTTATGATTAATTAGAATTGGATTTACAGAAAGATTATTTCTCTCTAAAAGTTTTATACTTTTTATGATATAAATGTAAGTGTTGAATTTTAATTTATTTTTGTGAAAGTGTAATTTTTTACTCCTTTTTAACTGGCCTGGTCATAGGCCTTTATGTATTTAATGTCATAATTTATTTAGTTATTTCCATTTGTTTTTTCAAATATGTTTAAATAATAAAATAAAGTTATTTCGTTTATCAAAGAGAAAGTAAATAGTATTGAACTAGAATGGATGAAACTTTAAAATGAACGTGGATAAAAATTATTATCCATAATATATTTTTTAAAACGGGTTGGATAAATGGTTCATAAATCATTTTTACTTTCATTTTATAAAAATTATCATCTCTACAAAAACTTTTTCTAAAGTTTTTTTTTTATATTTCCTCTAACCCTTTCTTGTGTGTTTGACATAAAAAAATCACTAATAAATTCACAACAAAGTGATCTATAGATTGAGTATTTATGCTTATAATATTTAATGTTTTTACAAATAAAAATAAAAGGGAATAATTATGAAATTCTCTTTATTAATTTTAAATAATTAGTGTATGCTGATTTACCTTCTACTCAATCAATACTCAATGTCATCGTTAACACACGAAATCATGTGATTGGTTGAGTGCCATGAAACCAAACTAAAAATTAAAAAAGTAATAATAAAACGTTTTACAAATTCTCCCCTCACATTATTATTAATAAAGGCTGACAAAAAGATTCTCTCTTTCATCCGGTCGTTTAAACCCAATAGCTTTGTCCCTTTACTCGAAGTCGGAAGTTACCACCCGCCATTGACGTCGCCCCCGGCGAAGAAGCTCTCCGCATGGATTTGCTCATTGTATAGTGATTGGGTTTCGGAATAAGGATCGGGGAGTGAAAACTCGCATGATCGTGCGAGTTTACGATCTCACTCGCGAGTTTAACAACATTGCAAGCGGCACCAAAAGGTTTTTTTATTGCCCACATACAGTTGTTGCTGCTGATTTTGGATGGTGTATTTGATATCTGGAACAATGCTTGTGATTTTAGATTCTGTTTATATTTTTTGGGTTTGTATAAGCAACCGCATTGGAGTTGTTCTAAAAAGGATTCTTATTTTGGGTGCTTTCACACGATAACTTTTGTTTTTTTCTTGGCTTTCTTATTGCCAATAGTTGCTAATTGATGTGAGTTTCTTTGTGATGCATTGGAAGTTTAGACATGGTTCTTGATACATAGCGCTGTCGTGAAGATTGTAATTGTGTTGTTTCATTCGTCCCCTTCAATCAGCTTTACCTATTCCTTACCTCAACTTTTCAACGTCGCCAACAGCATCAAATACTATAATAGACATCTGTTTATATGAATTTTTCCATGGAAGCTCAACAGATTATTTCCATATTTTGCCCAAAATCATCACTAGCTCCATCAATTCCAATGGTGAAGCAACCGTTCTCTTTAAATTTCGCTCCTCTAGACTCTTTATCGTCATACCCTTTTCTCCAGTCTCAGAATCTTGGCTTCCCTACTGGAGCTTTACATGCTGTCAGCTTTGTGCACAAAGAAATTTGTTCTAATTCTTGGAGAATACGGGGTAGCAAGAGTAGTAGTACTGCAGACCTAGAGGAGGACCATGAGGTGAGGGCTCAGGTCATAGTGAGAAGGAAAAAGCTAGCAGTTTTCGTGTCTGGCGGAGGATCAAACTTCAGATCAATTCACGAGGCTTCTAAAAGGGGATCTCTTCATGGAGATGTTACTGTATTGGTCACAAATAAAAGTGGTAATTATCTATATTAATATCATTTTACTTTCATTTTTTTCCCTTTTGTGTCATCATTTAGCTTAGCTAAATTCCTGCTTTTCCTAGAAGCGTATCTATCTCCTTCAATCTTAGCTTATAGTAATCACTGGATAATTGGATTAGGGTTGCATGCTTGCTAAACTTCCTTGTGTTGTATGAGCCTTGGTCTACTAAAATTGTTTCTTGTTTCATATTTTACAGAGTGTGGAGGTGCAGAGTATGCAAAAAATAATGGTATACCAGTTATATTGTTCCCTAAAGCAAAGAATGAACCAAAAGGGTTATCTCCCAGTGACCTTGTTGATACACTAAGGTTTGATGCTTCTTTAATTGGTTTCCTGTAATTGTATTTAACTTTAGACTTCAGGGTTCAGGGTCTTTATTTTTTTTTACTGAACCTGATGTGTGGATTCTTTGCAAAGCTGAAACACAAATAAAGAAATCAGTGTGACTCAAATATGGCAAAATCTGTGAAAGGAGACAAAGGATCACTTTCAATCTGCTTCATGAAGAGGTTAGATTATTAACATATAATACATTTTTAATCAGGAAATTCGAGGTAGATTTTGTTCTTTTAGCCGGATACCTCAAACTGATACCAGTGGAATTGATCCGAGCTTATGAAAGATCTATATTCAACATTCATCCATCACTTCTTCCAGCTTTTGGCGGCAAGGGCTATTATGGCATTAAGGTTCATAAAGCAGTCATTGCTTCTGGAGCAAGGTATACATCTCACGAAATATCTCAAGCATTTCAGTGAAACATTATTGTATTTGGTTCTTGATACCATTTCTGTGCTTCATTTTTCTGTGGTGGTCAGGTTTTCAGGTCCTACCATTCATTTTGTTGACGAACACTATGACACAGGGCGTATCCTTGCACAGCGTGTGGTCCCTGTGCTTGCTAATGATACTGCAGAAGAGTTGGCTGCAAGGGTTCTCAACGAAGTAATGGCAGACTATATCATGTTAGAAATAATATTCATGATATTTAGTTTATATTTTAATTTCCTAAAATGAGATGATGCACTTGTAGGGTCATCATTTAGTTGTTAGTGTCTCTTTGGTTGTACAAGTGTCTTCCTCTCACCTATCAAAGGAATGATAAATATCAATGTTTAGGTTTATCTTTTTTTTAGCTTTCATTACTAAATTTTAGAGTAGTTTAGTTATTTGCTTCCTATCAATCAAAGTGGACTCAGTTGATTACTGTTTACTTATTTATTTTTTAAACTTAGGAGCATCAATTATATGTTGATGTGGTGGAGGCTTTATGTGAAGATCGTGTCATTTGGAGGGAAGATGGTGTTCCTCTCATCCAAAGCAGAGAAAACCCCAATGAGTTTCACTGATTATCATTGATATGGTATGATACTCTTTTACATTTCTTTGAGTGCTGTAAAAGGTTTTTGTATACTAAATCTTTTTACTATGATGAAGTTTTGCATCTGATGGGACTTTTATTTCTGTTATAGGGAATTTTGGTTGTGAAAACTTCACATTTACCCCAAAGCTGTTGTAGTTAATGTTGTAACTATTAGGTAGGTAATTTTCGGTGCACTCATGTCACATCTCTAAGGAGACATATAATAAGCAAGAAGTGACAAACTTATCTCCTGATCTGATCTGCATAAACTGTTATATGCTCTCGGTGGATTCTAATATCGGGTCACAGAGCATATTTTTGGAGTCTTTCATTCCTTGCACAGGTTTCCATTAACATATCATGATTTTTCTCCTTAATAAAGAAATTATCTACTATACTATTTGGATAAGAAATTTGATGTGCCATAAGATATTTTTTTAATTTCTAAATATTTAGTCTGTGATTGAACTGTTTCTGAATGCCAAAGCTTTTACTGCAATGCATCAGTTCTTTGCTACCCATTTATTCACAAGTATTCTCCTGCTATACTTGATTTGAAGACTGTTAAAGGTAACCCAAATTAAACTTTGAATAATATTACTTTGGAAGGTTGTCATATAATGTTATTTTTGCATTTTCAAAAAAAAAAGTGCTAAATATAAGTGACACTGTTAAAACGAGATCACAATAGCCAAGATAAACGTTAACCAATAAAAATTGTAAGTGAGCACAGGAAGGAAGTTAGGAAATGTTAGAAGAATACATGTAGAAGCTTTGCAACTTAGAATAGTTGGTTTGCCATAGGGGATTTAAATTCAAACAACTATTTTCCCCTTCTGTAGGAGGATGTAGAATATTCATATTGGCAAACAAAGCATTTATATAATTGATTGTAGGAAAATCACATTTCTGAATCGTAGAGTCCGGATTCATAATCTAAAAGATATTTTACAATGCTTCCATAATCCCCACCACATATTTCCATTCAGCAAGCCTGTGTTATGTGTTGCTGTCATTATCATGGTCTCTTACTCAGCACAATCACTAGCGTTGAAGCATTCCTCACTGCAACTTCACCAAGAAACCAAGTACGTCCAACACCACCTTAACCACTTCAGTTTCCTGGAACTACCAATGTTCCGGTAGCGACTTCATTCAGTCGTTCAATTGAGGTTGACGGAAGAGAGGAAGAAGAAGAGACTGGGAATCAGGGATGCAAAGTAAGCCAAACCATGACCTATGATATTCCTTCTTCGTTCTCCTTATATTTGAAGCAACTATGGGATTGTTTCCAGATTCTACAGTACCAAATACTGACTTGCTGCTACAAATTTTCTGAATTGTGTATTTCCTAATATAATTTGGACTATTGAATTATACACTGTATAATTAATAATTTATGTTAAAAATTGACTGTAGATGGTGGAATCTAAAAGTTAATTTCTAACATTATATTAATAATTTAAATTCTATAATTTAAAATAGTTTTTCAAATTCTAGATTACATAATTAAAAAAGATTCTACATTTTGAGAATCAAAAGGTAAAATAGGCATTTTGAAATTTAAGCTACAAAAAGAAAATTTCTCTTATAAAAATAGTCAACATTGATAGTGTGTTTGGATTGAGATTTTACTATGGCAATTCATTTGTTAAGAGATTTAAATGTTTTATGGCAAAATATGTTTGAATAAGAAACTTTTAAAGAAATTAAACTTTAAAATTTTATTAAAGTTTAAAATTAGACAATTTTAAAATTCACTTTAAAATTAAGATTATTTTTTATATATTTTCAAATTTTTATTTAACTCAATTTTGATTTTGAACGACATTGATTCGATCAAGATTGAGATATTGTCGGGATGTGGGTTTTCTGGTCTTGGTCATCTTTTTCATATTATATGCAACAACAACGGAGGTATTCTAAAAAAATGTTATAAAAGTATAAAATTATAAAACTACAAAATATTAAAATTGTAAAATTACAAAATTATGAAATTAAGAAATTATAAAAATATATAACTATAAAATTATATTTTTAATTTTTTAATTTTGATTAATTTTAAAAACAATTTTCGTTAAATACTACAAATATTATATTGAGATTGCAACAAAATATTATGTTGCAATAGTGTCACATTACATCATAAAAAAAATCTAACTTTAGAACTCAATTAAAAGAATGTAAATTTTTTAAAAATTAATAAACAAGAAAATTCAATAAGAACTTAATTAGAATTTTCCAAATTTATTAAAAACTTAAATTTTAATTAAACCTTAAATTTTACCTTACCTAATTACTATACTGATGTGTTCTGCACATCAATGTTAAGACTTTTAATGACAATTAGTTTGAAACACGTGTCTAAGATGGTTGATGTTTGGTACGTGGTTTTATTAATAGAGATTAAGATAATAAATATTTTTAAGTTTATAATTAAGTTTGAAATACAATTTATCTTAAAAATAATGTATAGGTTTAAAAATCATTATGTCTATAAAAATATAAACCGTTATTATGTCTATAAAAATATAAATAGTGAATTTTATAAAATATAAAAGATAAAACATGTGTAAAAATAGAAGGATATACAAAAATTTGTAGAATTGACTCGTTAAAAATATAAATTATTGATAAATAGATTGATGTAATGTTAATTGTTAGACTCATCTAATCAATGCATTGCCAAACTTATTTAATATGTGCTCTTAAACTTGTCTAATCAATATATGGATACATTCCTTTAATGTATATTGTTTAATTAGTCTAATTAGTATTTATACAAACTTGTAGAATGTATATTGCAAAACTCGTTTAATAATTTAATGGATTGATTCGTCTAATAATATACTCATTTAATATGTGTATGACATGTAATGTATATTATTAGATTTATCTAGTTAGTATATAGACATGTTCGTCTAATGTGTATTTTTAGACTCATCTAATCAATGTATAAAATAACTCATTTAATATTTGTTGTTATACTTATTTAATCAGTATATGGACAAACTAGTTAATATGTATTGTTAGACATGTATAATATTGTTAGATTTATCTAATTAGTGTATCGACGTATTCGTCTAATGTGTATTTTTAAACTCATCTAATCAATGTATAAAATGACTCATTTAATATGTATTGTTATACTTATATTTAATCAGTATATGGACAAACTCGTTAATATGTATTGTTAGACATGTGTAATATTTTTTTCTATACTCATGTAATCAATGTATGAATAAACCTGTCTAGTGTGTATTATGTAAGATCCTTGAAAATATTTGTTAGATACTTAAAAAAAAAAAAAAAAAAAA